GAGGGTCTCGATACGATCCCCTCTTCCCCAACACCTACCTACCACTTTCCTACATGTTCCCAGCTCCTTACCAGTTTTCTCCGAAACGTCCCGGAAATTTGCTACTTTTTCCCCAAAAATTTTCCGTCGAGCGGCGGAGAGGGGGATGTCGTTAGCAGCCAACTACTATTTTCAACTTTGGGAGTTATATAGAACTTTGACAGTGCCAGAGCAAGGGAAGGGGTAAATTTCTCTCAAATGCGACCCGCCTCCCCAGCGGCAAGTACGACCGCCTCAATGTTGTACCCTGTTTAGAGCCCATGACTGTGGGTGTCGATCAGAAGCTCCACGGTGCCGCAACGCGGAACTCCTGACTAACATCTTCACTGCTCCGCTTATCTGGGCGAATCACTTGCCATCATCGAATGAGACCGCACATGGCAACGAAAAAATCGTACTAACCAGGACATTCACAAATCAGTCTCGCCGTTGTGCCCGTGGATTCACTGCTGTTAGCCACATTACAGCTTGAGCATTTAGTAGTATAACAGCACGAACAGCTGAAATTGAGCAGTAACTAGGAGACAGACGACTCCTGAGTCCTTATCCCTTGCCTGTCCATGGCTTCCAGCCTAATTCTCTGATTCTTCGCCAGTCAGCACTTAATCATGACTAGTTATACAAAACGACTGGACGGGGAGACTAAGCTATAAGTTTGGGAAAACATGCGGAACACAGTCTCCTACAGGGCACATCACTGGTTGAGGATTTTAGTCGAGTCCGTACGACCCCCCCCCCAATTTTTTTTCGGGGTGGGAGGCTTGGTACGACACCCCCCTCCGACCCTCTTTTCCTTCTCATCGAATTGAGCCGTCGAGCGGGGGGGGAAGAGGGGGAAGGGGTAAATAGCACATGTAATGCAGGAAAAGCCGCGAGACAATACGACCCCCATCCCTTCTACCATTTTTCCAAAATTTCCCGAAAACTTCCCTCCTTTTTCCCAAAAAATTTTGCTGTCGAGCGGAGGGAGGGGAGGGGGGGGGGAGTTGACAGGAAAATCACGAAAAGTCAACCACCACTCCCAACACTCCTAGAAAGGCCAGAAAGTAAATACGGACCCCCCCCAACAATGACCCCAAACAATGACCAAGTAAGACCCCACCCCCTCTTACAACGTCCGTGAAGCGAGAAAAACCAACTATAAACCCAAATACGAACCCTCCCCTCTCTTGGCGGCCAAATACGAACCCCCTGTTGGAGATTCCCCAACAACGATGTGCCCTGGTCTCCTAACCTGCGCGTAAAATGGAGTGCTTATTGTTAGGAGTGCCGAGCGCACACACTATGCATACCACTCATATCCGTTTGGCAGCACAGGGTGGGAGAGACGAAACTTCTGACGGTCGCTCTCGCTTCCTGGCCTCATCTCGGATGTCCCTGGTAAATGTGTAGGCTCGCGTGCTTCCTCGGCCGAAACAATTAATTTCACGCGCAGTTTTCGGGAATACTGTATCCAGTGTTTTCCTAAATTTATAATCATGGGAGGAAGAGCTATTTGATATAAGGGTCGGATCGGGGCACGGAGTGGTTGAAGAATGCTCACCGAGAAGGCCTCATTAGAGTAGCCGGACACTATTTGACTTATGAGAGTTCCGTGCATTAAGGACATAAATGATCATAGTCGCAGTGGCTGAATCAATGCCGCAGTGGCTGACGTTACTGAATGCGATGTTGACCTGCTGGGGCCGGCCGATGAGCAAGTCAGTGTTCTTATCCTCCCAGTCGGATCTGGTACCAGTTTACCGACCCCGGAGGATAGAAGGTCCGGTTGGCCTAGCGGAAGTCGATCCAGGCGGAAGTCGACCCGCAATTTGAACCCAGGACCGCGCGAGTGGTAAGCGCGCAACTTGTCACTACACCACCTGCGCCTCATTAATATTCCGCACATATTCCGTAGGCATTAAAGATATATTCCGCAAAACGGGCCAGAAATGGATGGGAACACATAAGCAGAGCGCCTTTCTCATTGGTAGACGTCTCTTTCTAACATAGTAAGGAGGAGGCCAATGAGGAAGTCGCGATTTTCATGGATCTCCGCCCATGTCCTCTCCATCTGTTCAACGTGAACTGTGTTTCTGAAAAAACACAAATTTTTACCGTGTTTGGAGTAAAACTAAGGCCATACCCGAAGAAAGCAAGAGAGGTGGTTGCGAGAAGGGTCCGAAGAAAGGGAAACCCTCAAGAAACAGAAGACGGTTGGCAAGGAATATGCATTCCACTGATCTTGGGAATTACATGGCCTTTTCATAGCAGTACGACTGGCTCATGGGATGAATGTGAGCTATTTAGCTACTCTGCAGGTACTTAGGAAAATGAAAATTTTGTGCAAACCATTCAGAATAGGCCTTGCCGCCAACCGCGGTGTTGCCTTCGCCGCCGATCTTGGTGTTTCTGAGCCCAAAGAAACTTTCCAAATCCTGTAGTTCGTGAAGCACAGCTCCTTCACCGCACTGTCTCTTTGTCGGGCGGCCCTGATTGGAACCGTATAAGGAAAAGCTCATATGAAACAAGGCTGGCACTGCCCTACCGATTTATCGCTTGAGGTGACCCAGTGAACGTGGGTGTAATCGCTGTTCTCAGGGCTCCTTTCACGCGAGCTAATAGGCGAGCTGCTGCTGCTGCTCTCGTTTGACGAAGGATGGCTCGGCCGTGTATGGCTTACGACGAGGCTGCTTTGAATCTTCCTTGCTGTCACTTTCATAGACATCGTTTTCTAGCGTCAATGGCTCCGAAAATGACGTGCAGCGCTCTTCTGGGTAGGCTGAAAAGGTTCTCTTGAGGACTGTTTGTGAAAAAGGTTCAAAATTAAGTGCCGGTCAGGAGGTCTACGATGCGGCGCTGCGAAGAGAACATGTCACGCGCACGCGGAGCCTACAAGTTCCGCAACGCGGATCTCTCAACCGACCCCCGTTGCACAATACTTACCCTCGCTAATTCGTATCGATTCGGTGTTCAGTTGGAGTTTAGAAGGGGCATGGGATCCACATGGATGCTGAAATTGTATTGAAAGTAGAACCGAATAAATACAGAGGCGACTGAACTCAGAGTAAGAGGAAGCAAATGTCCTTAGAATTGTTGTGAACAAGGTAGGACTGACCCCTCTTAGCAGCGCGGGTGTAAGTCAGTGGTACAGCGCTCCCTTAGCATGGAATAGGGTTGTTATGGAATGTCCCGTGTAGCTGAGCTCATTGAGGAACTCAAGTATCATGAAGATATCTTTTGCTTCGTGTCGTTTACCCCTAACCTCCCCCCTGCCCCTGCTCAAGCTGATCGCAATGGATTGTATGTGGCTGGCCAGTTGGAAGGGGGGGGGGAGGTATGGCTCAGTAGTACAGCGCTCCGTTAGCATGAAAGAGTTGTGGGGTTCAGTTCCTCATACCTCCGAACTTTTGCAAGTGATTGCCATGAAATTTCCTGTGTGGCCAAGCGCACGAGAAACTCAAGTGTCATGGGGGCTACCGCCTACGTACCCCCAGAAAGACTCCTATCCCCCTAAGACTGATTGTAACGCATCGTATGTGGCAGGAGAACTATATAGTGGGGTACAGCTCAGTGGCAGATTTTTCTTATCATGAGAAAGGGCTGCGGCCAAATTCCCCATACCTTCACACTTCTGCAAAGCCAATTATTTTCATGAAAGCCTATGGAAGCCAAGCGGAATGAAGAATTCGTTCACCATTCCCCCTCCTCCTTCTCCGAAAGTTGATGGCAATGAATTGTGTGAGACTGATGAGAGACATCGTGGGGGTATAGCTCAGTGGTAGAGCGCTCCCTTAGCATGGGAGAGGGCTGGGGTTCAATTCCCCATACCTCCAAACTTTTGCAAATCCACCGGTATCATGAAAATGCCTTGTGCACACAAGAACCCCATATCGATACTCCCCCCCCCTCTTCCCCTTGTGCCGTTGAACAGATCCCTTCCCACGAAATCAATGAGTAGCCCGGAAATAGCACCTGAAGTCACTTGCAACTTGGGAGTGGAATAAAAGGAGGATTTCTCCACGGGAATATGAACAAACAAACATGAAATTTTTTGAAACGGGCGTAAGTCAGGCACCCCGGGCATGTTGCGTTACTACCATCCCTTCGCAGTTTGTAGTCTTCGTGCATGGCTTGTGACACGCTAGGGCTCCCTATCCAGAACCTGTTGCAGTAAAATAGGATGCCCCTGCTGCAACTTGTGGCTTTGAGCCGGAGCGTACAGCTTGATATGGATGTCAAATACGGCTTGAAACTGACAACAGAGCACCTCCACCGATCCCTCCCCCCACCACCACAGCTTGTCTCTCATACAAACACCTCACCATGGAACGATAATGACAGCATGTTGGACACGCCGAGCTGCATTCGTCCGTTCCCATCGCTGACTGTCCTGGAAAAATCAGAATCGTTGAGGAGGTAAATGGGTTCCCACTGGGGGCACTTACGGTTAGCCGATTCCGGATCTTGACCACGTCGTCGCTTTCCACCGATTGTCGTTACGCAGAGGTTGTTGAGCGAATCGCAGCAGAGGGAATCTATAGAGCCAAATATTGCAAAAAGCAGGCTAAAGAGCCTTTTTAAGAACGAACCGTCCGATCGAGTTCGCAGAAAGACGACTGAATAGTAGGGATGACCGGACGGCAGAACCCAGTCCGCTAACAACACCGGGTAGGCATAAGCGCGGTCAAGGCTGAGGTACTCGGCCTGAAAAGTACTTGTCAAATACGTTTACCATAGGGTCGAGGTTTGCCAAGCTGATTGCAGAGAAAGTAATCTGACAGTGTTGTAAAATCGTACTCTTCGCCCACTCTTCCACCCTATTTCCAGGTATAAAAGCCGCTTGGCTACCTTCTTTGAAACTACCTACAGCCTTATCAATGGTAATGGTTGAAAGCTGTCAAATGCACTATTTCTAAAGAATTCAACATTCCCAGCAAAATAGGCGGTCTAACCCCCGGAAAGTAGAAGTAATTGTATTGCCATGCTATTTCCACAGTCCATTTCACAGCGCACCATGGCGATGTGGACAAATTGCCCGTTTAGCACGAGTCCCTCCACTGTCTTCGAGTGAGACCTCTGTCAACAGAGGTCCTTGTTCCTCTCTATTTCTTTCCCCGCGAAACGCTGTCACATTAGAGGGTCACGAAAAGCAAGCGCAGTCCCTTGCCTTTTACGAGACTGCCGTCCCACTTTCATACAGTGCAGGCTCCCCGCATCTGGAATATGAACCCTCCTAAACAGGGCACGTATTGACGTTTTGGAAAGCGTTTGTAAAGTACAACCCGACCCCCCCCCTCATTCCCAATGCTACCTACCATCTTCCTGATTTCTCCCAACTTGGGAATTGTTTTTCCAGGTTTCTCCGATTTCCCTAAGAACGCCCGTCAAAGGGCCGCCGAACGGAGAGGGAGGGAAAGGGTTTATCGACGCGGATGCAGAACCAAAAAGGCAACAACATTTGTCTCTAACGTCGAAACGATTCCCGTCCTCCTCCACCGAACGACTTCCCTGAGGGCCCCTGTCAGGCATGCCGCGGTCCTGACCGACTCAAATACCGCTAAGGTTTAATGTCACTCTCTGTTGGTGTTCCAAATCGCGGTGTACCTTGGATCAACCTGCTCTTCTACTGCGCCTCCTCTAGTAGTAGCTGGGTGGCATCAATCGATACCTACATTTTGCATGCGCTGATGACCTGGTTTGAAGTAAAGTCTTATCTTAACTTATGGAAACTATTCTAGGAGTGCCTGAATAAAAAAACAAATTTTTGGTCCATACATACCACGAACAGTTCCGAACCACGCTTGGGATACGCTCGCAAGTAACCTGAAACACTTTGATCGTCTCTCTACTACGAATAAAAACCCGAAGAACTTGCGGAGCTCTCTATCTGGAGATCTGAAGGGTGGATTGGGTGCTGCATGCGTCATCTCGCTTGTTAATCTCATTTCGCTGCACTCGACGCGACTAGGAAGTAACGCCCTTTACCCACGGCCACTCAGCTATCGCTGCCTCACTTTAAGGTCATTTTTGAGGGGTTTTGTTGGTATGTGGGGGCTCCTCTGTCTGAGTTTCTTTAGAGAGCTGAAAAAGATGATTGCATCTGCGTAACAGATAACCATTTTTGTTACCTTCTTTTGTGAAGCGGATGCTGGAGCGTGTCAAAGGGGCCGGGTGGCACGGCGCCAGGCTGTTTTCCACCAATTATTGACGCCTGCTAGCTTCTGGGCGCCAACCCTGAAACGCCCTAGCGCGCAGAGAACAGGGACTGTCTATTATCTCGCTGTTGAAGATTTTATCAGCATTCCGGCGCCTTTTTATTGACCGAGCTGCGTTGGATCGCGAACTGCTTTTCCAGTAGAATGAAGGTTCCTCCTAAAGCTCCGTCTATGGTAAAGACTCTCAAGAGGTCAATTACTGGCGCTGTGTAGGATGAGCGATGCAGTGGACTCAACCTTCCTTCTTGCGACCTATGTTTTCCGATAGAAAGGAAAATGGTTCGGCGATGGGGGGGGGGGGGGCATTTTGCTTCCCATCGATGTGTCGACCCATCTAGATAGCCTTTTCTTGAGTTGACACGTTTTACCATGGTGGCTAGACGAGCTTGCTCCAGCTTCACAAGAGTTCACAAGTTTCAGTGAGACTTGTAAACCGGAAGTAGTGAAGCAGTAAAAGTGCAAAATGCTCCCCCGTCGCCGAACTGCGCCAATGGTCGCGTTGTTCCCGCTAGGTTACGTTGACATCAGTGCCGCGAAATCGGCAAATTTCCGTCAAGAGCGTTTCCCTAAAAAAGCCTACTGGATAAAAATCTTGAGAGCCATGCGACTTTATTATCGCGAATAGAAGGTAGCCCGATATCCCAGATAAATGACAATAAACCCGAAAACCTTCATTCGAGGGGGGACCAGATGCAACTGCTTCTTCCTATTGCCTCAAATGTGTAATTGTGTAAAAGTATGACAATAATAAACATAGGCGACTAGACAGTTGCAGATCCCATCCGATTCTCTGAATATCACGCAGAATGCAAAAAGTCTTCCCATGCCGGGAATCGAACCCGGGCCGCGTGGGTGAAAACCACGAATCCTAACCACTAGACCACATGGGACATGAGAGAGGCGCCGAGATAGTGGTTAATAAACGGCCAGCGCGCGCAACACCTGTGTGCTGACGCTTGCCATCCAGCGCTACACCCAGTGCACATCATCATCAGGGATTTCACCACACGGGGTCGTATTTGGTCGCTGGGGGAGGGGGTGGCATTTGGCCCGAAAAAATTTTGATGGTCTATTTTTCTTAAAGGGGGAGGGAGACGGTCGTCTTGCTCGTTTTCAGGAGAGCGAGGTCGTAGTGCCTTCTGGCTTGCTGAGAGAGGTTGTTGACTTTTCGTGGTTTTTCCTCTTTCGTATGTGCTATATACCCCTCCCCTCCCTCCTGGTCGACAGCGAAATCTTTGGGGGAGAAAAGCAGAAAAATTCTCGGGAAATTCCGGAAAAAGCGGTAGGAAGTTGAGAAAATCTAAGAAAGTGGTGGGTAGGATGAGGGAGGATGGTCGAATTTTCCCTCGCGGTCTTTCCCGTTTCACTGGGCTACACTCTCGACAGCTCGATCGTATCAAGCCACCCTTTAAGTAGGGGTTGTACGGAGCCGACCAGAATCCCCAACTAATGAGTGCCCTCTATCCACAGAAGTGGCTGAAAACTAGAGTGTGTTTATTTATTTATTTATTACTTATGCACGCACAGGTGCGCTTCTACAACACTTAAGTTTTACGATCTCACTTAACGCTAAACTGAAGGAACAGGCAATCGTCAGGATAGGTAGGAGACTCTATAATTACTATGTAAACGTAGAGGTTTTCCTGACTTCACTATTCCCAGCAGCTCCTCGAAGTGAGCTTGAGAGGCACGTCGTCATAGCGCTGCTCTTCAGCCCGGGTAAGAAAAGAGCTTGGAATTCCTAAGAAGACCCATACGTTGTAACTCACAAACTTGTTGAACCCGATGCTCATCATCTCTGATGCTGTAGCTCGGATGGCATACTTGAGCATAATGAAATTGTGGCGGATTGTAGCATGGTTGTGAGACCAACGATGGAGCGGCAGAAGGACAGCATCTGAAAGCGAAATGGACCAGAGAAAGACTCTTCTGAAATGAATTTCCTTACCCACCCTCTGCCCCCTGTAACATGAAGGTCACTCACCTTGGCATCTGTCCAGAATACCCGAATCGGAATCGATGGAAATTATGAGCAGGGAAATACTGGGAATAATGGTGAGTGCTTTGGGAGTATGCAGGACACGGTTCAATCGGATAGTCGCGTATTTGTGGATGAATAGACGTCGATTGACTGAGATGTGGCACCGGTTTTGATAGGAGCAAATTGGCGCGACCACGTGATTGAAAACCTTCGGCCGGAGGATGAGGACATGTACAGCGAAGTTCACCGGCTGAAATTGAACTCATTCGCTTCTTTACGAGTTATTTGAAGGTTGTAGATCAGTTTTTAGTGCAGTATCGATACGGATTCCCGCACCTACCCAGCGACCTAGCATGAACCCGCCTCCCCCCGTACTAAATCAGATAGTATGAGACAGACGACGTAAAGAGGATCGTAATTCGCCGCACCGCCACGCGCGGCGATGGGCGCGGCGTTTTCATAACTCGTTTTAACCTGTCGAATGGAGCACCGGACTTCATGTAGACCCCGTCATCGTAGACAGTCATTACTGCTTTCGGTCCTTAATTGCATTTTGTCGCCATCTACTACCTGGAACCATCGTCCTTTGCAGACTAGACGTCGCACGCGACGCCCAGCAGCGCGGCGAATTACGATCCTCTTGTCACATACCCGTATGAGACAAGGCAAATCGCATGTTGGGAAATCCCCAACCGGAATTCTACTTGTTCACAGCAGGGGGCGCCATATTTTGCCCGAGGTCGTTCCTGCCCGTTTTTTTTTTCTGTTCCACTGATTCTAATAGTTGAGGGCAGACGGTCTACCTCTACCCTCCCTCTGGGAAGATGGCAAAATTTTGAGGATTTTTGATATGAGCGCAGATAAGACGCGAGAAGGGGGAGAAAGAGATTCGGCGTCGTATTGGATTCTCCTCCAACGCCAAAAACTTCCCTGGATGTGCGTTCCACAACCATAATACAAAGGTGTAGGTCGTTGGGCAAATCTCTCAGGCTGCGTTCATAGCTTCCGACGACGTTGCCCACGTCGACGTAACCGGCGACAACCTCCCGAAGACTGGGTACATCGAGTAAATCGCTTATAGCGGTTACGTCGATGTTGTATTTCAACTTCGCGAACCAGTCGCCGAAAAAGTCGGTTACGTCGGAAACGTCGGTTACGTCAACACCGCCGACGTTTCGTAACCTCGTAAGATATGAACGCAGCCTCAGCGCGGTGGTCAGCTTCGCCCTTGAATTCCATTACGACCTTTAATGAAAGTCGAGTGCATGGCGTGTCCTGGACTGAGTCTAATGGTAAGCAGCGACGACCGCTTCGCCTCTAACTCTGATTCAAATGATAGCTTTTCATATCCTATCACTCATAACCATACATCAGTGACTAGCTTTACCAATCGGTTTTAGCGGTTGGTCGTACATTTGGGCGCTGATATTGTCCCTGATGGGACATTTTCTGGCGTTAGATTGATGGTATACAGTTTATGTCACCGCGACCTGTCGGGTCGCAATCAGCGGTTCCCACCTGCGGCCTTCCCACCAGTGGCTGATTCCTTCTACATCGATCATTGCTCGATCACCATTGGTAGAGCAAGGCGGCAAGGCAGTCGTGATAGGCCGTGCTGGTGGGCGTGGTAAGGGACACTGCGCCCGCGGGCGAGTGGTCTTGTCTGGCTATTTGAATATGAACGCTGAACGGAGTTCCGCTGCTCCAATCGACCAACTAATACGCATCGAAAATCTGCCGCATGTGGCCGCACGGTGCGCCGCGCACGACGACGCGACGGTCTACCATTGTTTTGCTTACCTTCCCCTCGAACGACCGTTCTTCCAAGAAGTAGGGTTGCTAGCTACCTATGCCGATCGATACCCACCCACTCTTTAGGGGCGCATTCTCCCGAACCGTCGTCTTTCCGTCACAATCGATGAACAGTCATTACCCTTGCAAAAGGGAGTTGAGAGAGCGTGTACTGGAGCGCAGTTAATGCAGCTTTTTCCGCCAATTGTTGCTTCGTGAACCGCCGAACGTCCGTGGAAAAGGCTGTTATGTCTGCGCTCCGTGTCACGCGCCTTCACGATAGTAGGATAACTGGTTC